GGGGGGGGTAAGTTCAAGCTTAACTTGGCTTAAGAGATAAAAAGATCTTTTAAAATACCTTATAAACTGGAATAAATTTAAAAAAAAACAGAAAAAACCCAACGTTTGCCTTGATCAAGACTTCTATAATTCTTTTACAAAGTTATTCCGAGGTGTGTGGTACGAGACACCACACTGAATACAAGGGAAGAAAGTCAATAAACTGAAGAGATTCGTTGAATGTGTTCTCTCCCTTACCACATCAAAACATAATATTATCATCATTTATACTACCATCATTTCAGGGACCGGGTGGGGGGAGGGGGGGGGTGAGCCTTATTCGTTTAGAAATAACTATCTTCTCTTTCAAAGTAGAAGAATGCTATTTAGTTTTGAATTTGATGTAAGGTTGGGCTTAGATAAATGTACATTATTCTGAAAATTACAAGCTCAAGTCAGCAAACACCTAGGAAAGGGCTTTCAGTTTGGTTTAGTCTACATTTTCAAAACGCCCCCCCCCCACCTCAAAAACCAATTTCTATTTCACAATATAGAATACCTGTATAGAAATATGATACTATCAATTCCCAATTGCTCATTGTTATGCTTGTACACTGAAATGGAAATTTACTAGAAGGGCACGTTAATTAGTATGGCTTGACGACAACAGATCGGTGAGCTCTGGCAAGATTTGTAAGATTACAAAAAGACCTTTACATTTATAGAGGACATGTCGTCTATAAACGTTAAGGTCTTTATGTAAATGGTACAATGACTGACTTATATCTCTTTCACACGCTCGTGGCGGAACAAGCTAACCAGATTGACACAGTTATCTAGTGACTTTGTTGAACTGGGGGGTCAAGGTGAGTTGACAGAAATATGGCCACATTTAACAATTCTCTTTTGCACTCGTGTCATGCAATTAATTTAGACACGACATTAGATTATTTTGAAGACCAATAAGGGTGTTCTAGAGTAGAGGCTTACATTGTCTCCGTTGATTAACAACTTTGATTTTTTTCTGGCACGTCTTACAAAATGAGTGTAAAGGCATTGGAAAGAGCATTCCTAGCATGCTCACCCAAAGTGTGATTTATGGTGGGCAAATGAAAATAATTAATTACAATACTCACAGTACCAAAGGCTGTGAAGGTTGTGAATGCACTACCTGAAGCAACTTTTGATTTGTATCGGAACGGACAAAACAGCAGAGTTATCCGCCTCATAAATCGCGCCCATTTCATACTATTATTTTAAGACTGAACGAAGATTAATACGAATACAAGTATAATACATTTTGTAACTGTGGGCTGCTCTTGCACAAGAAGTCCTTTTAGTCACTTTGGCTTCACAAAGGAATCAACTCGTCAACAAAGACAACGTCCAATATCGTTACAAATCGGCTTTCAAGAAGAAAGGAATTCCTAGAGGTTTCGTCTTTAAGCAAAACCGTAACCGTACAAAGTCCTGTAAGGTATGAAAAGGCCCAAAAGATCTAAGAGCAAACACAGTGTCCCGATGATCCTCTGCCGACTAACGGCCGATTTTGATATCACACTAAACTGTAAATCATAATACATTGAACATAGGCAGTATCCTGTTAGAGGTGTGAAAATACAATCAGATATGTGTTATGGAGCCTCTAATAGAACACTTTGTTTATATTCGAATGCATGACGATTACAAGAATGAATTTCTGTCAAAGTTTTAACTAAACCTACACTCTCACCCAATTTCTCTACACAAAGGAGCATTGTAATTTCAAACCAGAAAAATGTCTTGAAACTTCTCGACTCGCCTCTTTCGCTGCAAGACGCAACTAAGTCAGAGTACATGTACCGGGTGTTTAAACAAAATGGACCCATGTACAGCGCAGTAACTCGGTCACCTTTCGATTAATTTCTATAAAACTTTGAAGAGATAAAATTGAACTATGAGGTCATTATAATTATCAAAATGTTAACAAATCTACGTGTTAGTTTTTAACAATATCAAGTTTTAAAATTTCAGCCAAAATTGAGTGAAACGCAAAACTTTTCAATTAAAAAAAATCAACCTTACGGTTCTCTTTCAAGCAGTCATCATTTGAGCTTTGAAAAACAAATTTATAAAATATGCGTTGAGCACCTTTCCCGTACAAGCACAAGCTCCAATAGGCCACTGAAAATTCTAAATAATCCGTGGCACGTTTTAGGGTTCGTTCTTTGGATATCCTGTTCAAAAATGAATTTCAGCTGTTCGTTTTTTGTAGGTTCTTTTCATACCTTGTAAAAAACAAAAAACAACAACCCCTAAAGATAATAATTGAAGGGGGTCAAGTTGGTGCCAGGGGGGGGGGGTGGTGACCATTCATTTTTATACTTTAGGCATATACGGAGCAAACCTTTCTCACAACCATACAAGGGACACTCTTTACGTAACCCCATCCCACTAGAACCAGGCCTTTACAGCGTAGCACTTTCTCCTCCCCAAACTTCTCCAAAACGTTCTCATCATGATGAGATATCTATCTGATGTGACGTCATGGTTTCACCGTCCTTATCCTGAAACCAGAGCGGCCCGATCACACCCCTGCACCTGAAGGCTTTTAAAAAAAAATGGAATTTTGCGTTTTACCCAGTTTTGGTTGAAATCTTGAAACCGTGATATTTCTCGAAAGCGTACATCGATTTTCTTCTTCCCCTTGAATGCATTTTATTTGTCCAAAGTTTTGTTAAAATTACTGTTGCAATAATTGAGTTATCGCCATTTAAGGGAGTTATCTTTTTTAGACACCCTGTAGTACACAGTGCCAAACGTCGTTTCATTAGATGGTGAATACTTTTTCCTGTGATGGTCCTCCTTGGTCTACATTTTTATTAATTGACATGCACGTTTCAAACGTTTCGGTTAGCAGGTCTTCTGGAGGCAAGTATCATACTATAATATACCCCTGTGAACATGCTATCCAAGTTCTGCAGGTGTGGAAAAATCTCACTGGTATTTATTTATGCCGACATGGTACAAAGTGGACCATCATGAATTTTCACCTTCATTGGTCGTCTTCTTGTATCAACGATCAACGTCTATTTGTTCAGCGTGTTTGTAGTTGTAGTGACACCGAAAAGGAATCAAGAGACCCAGGACATAAACAGAGTTGTTATTGGCGACCATGGTGGCTCTGATATCTGTGTACGATTCCCGATGTTGACTGAAGTGAAATAACTGTATAGCAGAGACAACAGCGAAACGTCAAAACCCTGCAGATTACAACTGTTGGTCTTGTTGACATTCTTGTTGACAACCTTGACTGGTACATCTGTCAACAATACACGGAGTAGGCTGAAGTGCGGCGTCATGAAATCAACCATACTACGTAACATCCGAGATTCTAGACATAGCTGTTGTTTTTGTTTGCAGCCATGATGGGTCTCGTGTCGTTGGGAATCGTGAGTGGAGGCTGAGCACGGTAGTAGCGCATAGGCTGAATGTAAATGCGAAGTTTTTGTCGTTCTGCTGATGCGTTGTGCTCAGAGCCGCTGGAGGAGTTGAGTTCTCTGTGGGAGGGAAAGGCAAACGTGTGACAACAGGTCGGGGGTGGTTAGCAGCACAGTTCCGCTTTGGTCAAACGTTGGTTATGTGTGTGTTGTGGTTTTTTAAATAAAAAAAAATTATAGGGGGTTTGAGAATAAATATTTGGGTAGAGTTCTTTCTTCAGCATGGTTCTATTCTAAATGATTGGAGAAATTATTTATGTGTGTATGTGAGTGTGTGTGTGTGTGT